CCCCAAAACCCCAAAACCCCAAAACCCCAAAACCCCAAAACCCCTTTAGCTAAAAATATAGTTGAATATAATTCTATTTCTTACTTTCTGCCAAGAGATATCTGCACTAGGAGAGGGATTAGACAGCTCCATACATGGCATCCAGGAACTCGTAGTAGGAGACTACGCCATCCTGGTCGTTATCTAGGGACTGGATAACTGCTCTGATGAAGTTAGGCTCATAAGTGGTTTGCAGCTGTTGGGAAAGGAAATATTCAATATCTTCTCCGGTGAACTTATCACTCTTTTCAATTCCACATTCTTCAAACATGTAGTCGATACCATCAGGGTGGGCCTCACACATATCATTTTGGATGATCCTTCTTTGCTTGGTTGTGTTTATAAGGGCTTTCCAGAGCTCTTTGTAAAGGTTTTGCCATGAAGAATCATCTTCGTCTTGGTCCTTACTGAAGTTTCGTCTATAGGTTGGATAGCTGGGATCTCCCCTTTCAGGCTCGAAGAAGGCCATATCTGAGAGGACAAGTTCACCCTGCTTGCTATAAGCAAGTCTGGCGATAAGATCCTCTACTACTTGTTTCTCAACTAAATAGATTTTCAGATTTGTGAGTAATGCGTTATGGAGTCTTCCTGCATCAACAGAGCCTTTATCAGGGTTCAGTAAGCTAAAACCAAACCCAGCATTGTAGTTTGGCTGCATTCATAGTGTATTTTTGATGCTATTTTCAAACTGCTGGAGCTCTCCATACTTAACTAATCTAAGTGCTATTTGCTTCATACTTCTAGTTCTAGCGTTGTCTCGTGAGCCTCTCTGAACGGTCTTCAAGCTGTCATAACTCGGCGGCATGTGAACTGTCATTGACCCTTGGCGAGGATGTTTTATGGTCGAACTGATTCTCTTCGGGTTCTTAATCTCTGTCATTCTATAAGTTGGTTTTACATTACAAAACAAGTCTAAGCTTACCTATAGTTATGCTCAAGGTTGGCCAAACTCAGTCCATTGTTCGGCGAAAAGAAAGAGTGTGTACCCCTGCTAGTTTTGTCCTTTGTTGCTGAAAACCCAGAGTTTCTGAGTAAACTCTTCTTTCCTTCTGTGGGGATGCTATCAACAAATTCCAACTCCTCAAAGTCACATGTGTCGTCTACTACTGAGTTATTAGCACCAAAGGAGGGACTATGCACAGATGATGACTTTCTTGATGACTTCCTTGATGACTTCGTTGATCTTTTCAGTGGCTTTCTCTGAGTGGAGTATAGTGAATAATTTGGTCTGAAATCTTCATCTACAAGCTCCTTGAAGGATACAGATTTTCGATTTGCACTTGATGCCCTTCCTGATTTCTTGAGACTTGATCTACTGTGAGACCCTCTTGACCGATTTGAAGACCTTCTGGGAGGAGTAGCTTCCTCTCCAAATGAAGTTTCGTTTAGGTTTGCAAAGCTTTGAGACCTTCTTTTCAGTGATGCTCTTTTGTGTGACCTACCTAGGTTCCAGCTTTTCCTCGTATGTTCCTTGCTTGCTGATTTCTTAAGAGGTGAAGTTCTTGATACAGATTCTTCATAGGCAGACTCTCTGCTGGTATCTCGTCTGCTTCTTTTGAGTGAACTTCTCCTGTGAGAGAGGGGTCGGCTAGTTTCCCAGAAGACCTCCTCATCTTGTTGGCAAAGGTCACAATCGCAATTCTCCACATTGTGCTTGAACTTATGCCTGTTGAAGGTCTTCCTCTCTACTGTTGGGTTGGGTTCAACAGATTGGTCTTCATCGAAAATTTTTCGAGAGACTGTCATTCTGGAACCATCAAAACTATCATTCATTTCGAAAGTTTCGTTTTTGAATCTTTTAGAGGAACGGCTTAGATTTCTACTGGCAGACCGATGCTTCTCGATGGTCTCTCTGTACTCCTTTCCGCAGTCCCATTCTTTGTGAATGACTTGGTCGCCGATTTTGAAGACGTTGGAGATGTTGAGTTCTCCTTCCTTCTCATCGAAATTTACGATGGTGTCTATATATCCTCCGGCCCCTTCGCATCCAAGCTTGTTGGCAATATTTTGTTGGGTCTCATCCTCGAGCGGATCATCTGAGCCTTCGTACAACTCTACGGTTTGGGGAGGGGTCACTGACTCTTGACCCATAATTCTAGACTCATTGCTTATAATTCTTTGCTCATTTTCACTAATCATTTCTTCGGTAGCCATCATTCTTGTCTGTTGGGCGATCATTTCTGCTTCTCTGGCTATACGAGCGTCAAACTCTGCGTCAATCTCTTGCTGAGTGGCATATCCGGCTTGGACGGCATTTCAAGTACCATAGATCGATTCATAAGCAGCTCTGCCTTTTCTTTGGTCATGATGATTCTCTTCTGATTTAATGAAGCTCTTGGAGCGCCTAGCATTGGTGCATCGGCATCCTTCATTGTCTCACTTGCCTTGTGTGAGGTACTTGGAGTACAATCTCTCCACTAGCCTCGGTCTGGTGTTGTGATAGCAGGAGTAGGAGTTTGAGTATGCTGACTCAAACACAGGCGATCTCCTGCGTAATGGCCTCACTATTTCTGAAGTTGGAAGTTGTGCTCTTGAGGTGTAATCTGGAGAACCGGGTCTTCACCTATTCATTTTATTTTGCTGTTTTTAATTTTATTTCAAGTTAGAGTGGTCAGAAAGGGGTTTTGGGGTTTTGGGGTTTTGGGGTTTTGGGG